GCAAGGAATTTGAGGACTTCATGCAAAATCTTTGAAAACCTATGAGATAAATCGCCGTAGGGTTATGTGCTTTAGGTCTCCCGAGACCTGCGGAGACCTGAGGTCTCCGACTAACAAACATTTTTTGTTGCTCTTAATTTGCCTTCCTCATATCAAACACTTTTCATACACTTACCCAACTTATAGACAATAATCAAATCAAAGTACTTCCTCTCTTTCTTGCTAGGGCCAATGTTCTTCCTTACAGTTGAAAATGCGCTCCAAGCCAACAGCGCTGCGGTTGCCTTATTGTCCGCATTTCTACATTCACTAAGGGGGCTTTAATGATTCAACCTGAGACCTGCTGAGGTTTGCTTATCTAAAAAGAAAAGAAACTGATTCTTTATTTATTTAACATAACAAGGCTTACCCAAATCTTGTTATGAAGTAAGCTGACCCTCATAATTCAATTCAAATGTATATTATAACGTAATCAATTTATTGCAAAGTCGCGATTCTACGCACTTTTAGCATGGCATACATTGTACGAGAAAGTAATTTAAGAGGAATAAACTGAGTGATTTATAGTGAGGCCATTTACTTCTTTGATTGCAGGGTTTGAAAACGCTCTATAAAAGAACCATTTCTATTCTAACCGTACAGCATGCGTTATGATGTCAACGGGATCAGTAGAATTATGATAAAGTCCTCGCCTAAGGACGAGAATGAATTGATTTAGGAAGCACTCAAGGATAGGCATTTAAAAATGAAACTTTAGTGTATTCTTATCATTGCTTCGATAGTGATTTTGCTTGGCACCTTGAGGACCGTAAAGCGTTAATGCACTTATCTTTCATATTCCTAACTCACGGATATAAAAGGGTACCAAAAGGCTATCGGATCCGCGTAATTTAAATAAAACACCCGCCCTATAGGTGATTTTTTACTTCAGAGGTACAGTGATGCAGAACACAAGAACTTTTGTTTTAATTCCTGATGTCCTACGTGAGGTTACGGTGATGCATGGATGAAAATCAGCATGTGCCTTAGTTTTGCATAAAGGCCCCAGTAGTTCAAAATGATGTTAATATTCGAATTCATCATATCGAGAAACCTTACTGTGCAGTTTCTAGAAATTTAAGTGCACGACTAGTTGCAGTACATTCACCGACACTGATTTCGATGTATTGGTTATACACATACGGTTAGAAAGGTAAAGTAAGTAATAGTTAAAGAACACTTTTTCAA